GCTTATAAATCCCTCTTACCAAGATTTTCTCTTTGTCTCTGCTTTTCCTTTGAGTTTAATTTTCATTCACAGTGTGTCGAAAGGCACTATGGAGTCATGCAACATTAAACCGATTACAAACTGGGGACATTATACGCCGATGGTGAAGCTCCCAACTTTTTTTAAAGAAATTTTTTTTTTTTTCAACGTTTATTTATTTTGGGGACAGAGAGAGACAGAGCATGAACGGGGGAGGGGCAGAGAGAGAGGGAGACACGGAATCGGAAACAGGCTCCAGGCTCCGAGCCGGCAGCCCAGAGCCTGACGCGGGGCTCGAACTCACGGACCGCGAGATCGTGACCTGGCTGAAGTCGGACGCTTAACCGACTGCGCCACCCAGGCGCCCCAAGAAGCTCCCGACTTAAACAGCAAATGCTCTATGGTGGATACAAGTGTGTTATTCGGGTTTCTGCAATATTGGCGCTTTGATAATAAAGTGAAAAAACATAGAAGACCAAGTGCTTTAATGGAGGTAGCACTGCCTATTTCCTAAGGCATCAGTAATTCCAACTCTCCACTGGCATCAGGAGATCCCTGAGATAACACCGTTAATTTTCATTAAAGCAAAAGTTGGCAGAAGCGACCTCTGGTTGGAAAAGCTAGCCAGGACAAGTTGTATTTGCCTGTTCCACAGACAGTAGCCCTTTCTCATGGCTTTCCAGGCACAGAGATGACAGCACGGGAGGAAGATAAACCTAAGCAAACAGCGAGTGAAGAGGAAATTCTTAAATCATCTACTGAACAGTTAGTTAAGTACTGTGACCACAGAGCTTTTCAATAGGGAAGGGAGAGGCACTCTCTTCATTCTATAGCCCTACCACACGTGGAACCCTCCAGCCACGTATGAGAATCCAGCAATTAACTGAGATAAATACACCCTCGTTGGGCTATCCCGCAACCTTTTTCAAAGAGGACAAAAGTCGTGCTCAGAAAGGACAGGCTGAGAGTTTCAAATCTCTTTACAAGTGGAAAGTCCACATCCGACACTCGGAGCTTAACTTCACTACGAGGTTATAACCTCAAGCGGCCGGACTGTTTTCTCGGATCAAATTCCCCCACTTTCCCAACATTTATTGGAAATTTTGACATATGTTGAAGTTGACAGAAAGTGAGACATATTTGTGAAGAGAATCATGATTTAACAGGAGAAGCGCAGACTGTCTAAATCCGAGGTACAAAGCGACGTTACGGAAAGAGACGGCCAGTATGACGTTTCCCATCTCGCCTATTTTGGGGCCTTTTCAGAGTGTGACTTTTAGGACCTCCCAGAAATACACTATATACTATAAAACCTTTAGAGCAACAGGTTCATAATTATCCCTTTACCAATGGAAAGCATTACCTCTTTCCAGCTATGGTACATTAACAGGTCCCGGAGGAAATCCCAGGCCTGGGGAGCCCTTTAAAAACCACTTAAACTTGGCAGCTATGTAGCTGAAAAGTGACAGCTTCAGACTATAAGCTACAAGGAAATGGAAGCGTCAATTTACTTCTGTTCATGCATCCATTCCATGAAAAAACATCTTGAATCGTACTGGGTGCCGGGCTTCGTGCTAAGCACCGGAGAGGCCCAGATGAAGAGGAACACAGACGCTCTCCTGCCGGGGAATTCACTTCTGGGACAGTTCTTCCTCATCTCTGGGGACCAAGCCACATGCCAGCGACGCTCCTGGACCGCCTGCGAGAGCCTCTGCAGACCCCAGGGTCAGGCGCCTTCATTTCTGAAGACTCAGCAGCCCAGGTTCACAGCTCTCTCTTCCCCAGTCCTGGCCCCCCTCCGGAAGACCCCGACATGCGCGGGGCTGACGTGTCGGCCCTTCGTGCCTCACCTCCCTGCGTTCCTGTTTCATTCTCCCTGCAAGTTCACATCTACTCCACCCACTCAGGCGGTCACAGCCTGGACCTAGTCACCGGGACTTGTTCCACAGTGTTTAGCTATGCTCCTCTCCGACCACAGCCTCTCGGCCTTCCAGGGACTTCCACACCAGCTCTTCCTCGAGCTCCCCCAACGGTCAGCCTCTTGATCCTTCTCCCTCCCGATGACCAGCTTGCACGTGAATTCACAGCTCCTCTGCCCCAACGTGGCCTCGACAGACATCCCTTCAACCACTGAATCGTTCTTTTGCCCAAATCCTCACTGCTCTTGCCCAGCTGTCCTCTGCCCACCTGGGCTGGACCCACCCGGCCCCCGAGTACTGAGCGAGCCGGGACAAAGGCCACAGCCGTGCAGACGGGTACCGGGGCAGAACACTGAGCAGACCGGGCTCCTAATGCTGCTGCTCACATTGGCCCTCTTCTCGCCAATGCTCCAGAACCGGGAACCCACCCACAACCCTCTCGCCTTCGGCTCCCCATCGCAGCAGAGAGAAAACAAACCTCTACGTGGCTTCCCACAGCTTCCCCCCGCTGGGTCTCCTTAGCTACCCGGACCTGCACAGATCCCTTCCTCGCCGCCCCCCATTACAGCAGCAGAGAGGTGCCCATTCCTTCTCTTGGATCCCACGTTACCTCCCCTGGGCTCCCAGAACTCCCATTGTTTCTGATCTCATCCTCGCCTCTCCTCCTCAGTGGACTCGGGGGCACCCGGGTGGCTCAACTGGTTAAGCCTCCAGCTCTTGACCTCGCTCCGGTCATGATCTCGTAGTTTGTGAGATCGAGCTCCAGGCTGGGCTCCGCATGGACCGTGCAGAGCCTCCTGGGGACTCTCTCGCCCTCTCTCTCTCTCTCTCTCTCAAAATAAATACATATGTAACTAGACTCAAGTCTCTCTCAACTTCTCAGTACGCCCACTTCATGTACTCTGTCCGGACCAGCTAACTACCACCCCTCGTCCTATCTCCTTCAAAGTAAGTGTCTCCAAGAACTGGCCATGACAACCATCTTTTCGTCCCCTTTGCACGTACTTTTGAGACCACTTCACCACCTCCCCCACGCTTCTCACAACCTCCCTGGAGCAACCGACTCCTTGCTGCAAAATCCACGGCACAACTCCATGCTGGCCTCCCATCGACATCTGCCCCCCAGTAGCCGGCCACTTCTTTCCTCCACACCATACACGGCCCTCTCGCTCTTCGGATCTTCCTTCTCCCCCGCGGGCCTCTCCTCTGCAGTTCCCTCTGCACACTGTTCGTCCCCTGTTGTAAACACTCTTTTCTTCTCCGTCTACACACTCTCCCTAAACATCTACAGGCTGATGAGTCCTAAATATTATTTGTCTATCTCCGCTGAGTAGCACAGCTTTACCCCCACCCCCTTCACCGGGCAGGGCCACCGTTCGCCCAAGCGAGCACCTAGTAGCTTCCTTGGGTCCCCTTCACCCACCTGATTAAGTACATCACGAAGGCCTGTCACGTTCACCTCTTAAGTATTTCTCCATTGTCTCCACTTCTCTCCATTACTCCAGCATCCATTCAGGCCACCATGTTGCCAGTGTTGAATTTTTTTTTTAACGTTTTTATTTATTTTTGAGACAGAGAGAGACAGAGCGTGAGCAGGGGAGGGGCAGAGAGACAGGGAGACACAGAATCCGAAGCAGGCTCCAGGCTCTGAGCTGTCAGCACAGATCCCGACGTGGGGCTCGAACTCACGGAGTGTGAGATCATGACCTGAGCTGAAGTCGGACGCTCAACCGACTGCGCGACCCAGGCGCCCCAGACGACGCTGCCAGTTTAGAGCACCACAACTGCTCAACCAGTCTCTCTGGCCAGGTGCACAACCCGCTCGGTCAACCCACACGCGACTGCACAGGCACAATGACCTTTCTAAATGAAAATCCTACCATGTCATCCCCTTGCGTGGCTCCCCATTGACCTCTAAGCTCTACATAAGTTTCAAAAGCCTTTCACCATCTGCCCCCCACCTGTGTCTCCGGCCAAATGTTTCACCATAGCCCCTTCTTGGGACTCTATGCTTCAGCCAGGCTCCAGTGTGTTCAGTTGCTGAATACATCAGCACATGCTACTCCTTCCAACTCAAACACTCCTAGAGCAAGCGGGACTAATCCTTCTGGACTCACAGAGCTTAGCCACCATTTCCTCAAGCAAAAGCTCACCCCCACAACTAGCTGTTCTCATAGTACCCCTAGTCTACTGTCACATAAATACAGGACTTTGAAACTGTCTCTTCACTATTCCTCAAGGTGCCCATCAAGTGTGCAACTAGAAACGGGACAGCGTGGTTTTGTTTTGTTTTTTTCTTTTACCACTTGTGCCCCTTCTCGACGATCTTCTATTCATTCACCTATGTCTCCAGCCTCTCATGGACCCCCTGGGTCTCCCCCATGAGGCTACGAGTGCCATCCAGGTAGGGCCTGTGCCTGTCTCTCCCATGGTTCTATCATCAGTGCACACGGGCCCTCAAACAATATATTCTACCTCACCTTGATGACAGCGGAGAGGTATAAATAAACCACGAGACGAAGACACAGAGACGTATGACATGCCACGATTTCCCCACGGACGTGGGATGCTCAGCAGAAGCAGAGAAACTAGCCCGTCGTCTGTACTTTTATCATCACATCATTCATCGGAACATTAGCAGTCAAGCTAATAATCTACTCACACCTACAAAATGCGGCAGGGCTAATATGCAGCTATTGACTTCTACTACGACATACCGTTTAGAAGAAAGAGAAACAAAGGCAGAAGAGGGAGAGAGATTTCAAGGTTCGGAAAGGTAACCCTGGATGCCAGTGTCACTAGCTGGGACCAAAACGTACAAATACCTTGTCCAATCAAGGAACGGTGACACAGGAGAGACTCTAGACAATATCACAAAGTAGTCTAGGGGCACATGAGGCCAGACACCTTACTAAAGGGAAATCTATGTTGCAGCTGGACGTGTGATAGCTATTTCTCCCCCGCTGCAAGTGAAAATACCCCTGGTCCCACTTTTTTTTGTTTTTTTTTTTTTTTAAAAGCCAAGACGAACGTCAAGTGTTCCAAGCACTGGTTAATACTCACAGCAAAGGGCCTTCTGCAGTCTTCGGAGCTTCATGGCGGTCCTATAAGCTGAGAACCTGACATTATTCAGGTCGGCTGGGGAAAAAAGAGACAAAAGAGAGAGCATTTTGTTATTTCATCAGAAAGCACAAAAGCTCCCGATGTTTCGGAAACAACAACAGTAACACAGAGGAAAAAAAATCTTTTGTGTATCCCCCAAATTTAAAAATTCTATAGCGGTGCCTGGGTGGCTCAGTCGGTTAAGCATCCAACTTTGGCCATGATCTCTTGTGGTTGGGGGGGGGGGGGTACAAGCCCCAAGTCGGGCTCTGTGCGGAGAGCTGAGAGCCTGGAGCCTGCTTCTGATTCTGTGTCTCCCTCTCTCTCTGCCCCTCCCCTGCTCACACATTGAATAATGTGTTCACTGAATAAAATCACTGAAAAAACATTTTTAAAACTTCTGTCAATGCGAGAAAAGCAAAAAAAAAAAAAAAACCCAAAAAATGTCTTTTTGCTGTCTGACAATCAGGAAAGCTAAGTTCTGTAAAGGACTCCAGTGGCAGAGCCCGCAGGGCATTCATTCATGTAGTCCTTATTCCTAAAAGGGAACAGACACACAGGGAGTCTTTTTCTTCTGGACTATAACCTCGGTTCTATTGGAGTGGATCTTGGCTACACAATTAAAAGAGAACACGCAATCTATTTTTGAAATAGCTGTTAGAACTTAGCAAACAATCAACGGGCAATGCAATACTTTTTTGAGTTTTTTTTTTTTTTTCTTTAGAAGTGTATCGGGGCTCCTGGGTGGCTCAGTCAGTTGAGTGTCCGATTTGGGCTCAGGTCATGATCTCACGGCTCGTGGGTTCGAGCCCCACGTCGGGCTCTGTGCGGACAGCTCAGAGCCTGGAGCCTGCTTCGGATTCTGTATCTCCCTCTCTCTCTCTCACTCCCCCTCCCCTGCTCATGCTACCTCTGTCTCTCAAAAATAAATAAATATTAAAATATTTTTTTAAGTATAGGTGACTTTGTTTGCACGGTAATAATTAAAACAACATTTCATTAATGACAATACAGGAGACCTTCTAAAAAAGATAGAAGTTTACGACAAAGATCTCAGGTAAATGAAAAGTATGTTTGTAGAATTTAAAAATCACAGTGGGAGAGCTTCAGGCTTGAAAGGGTGAATACTGGGTTTATTTATATGATGACTTTTTGTCCAAGTTTTTATCTGAATTCCAGTTAGTTAACAAACAGCGCAAGATCAGTTTCAGTGACGGTTTCAAGATCAGTGCGGAACATGGTGATTCATCGCTCATATACACCACCCAGGGCCCTTCACAGCAAGTGCCCTGCTTAATCCCCATCACCCATTTAATATCATACTGTCTTCTGATGATCAAAGTTACACATGCTCACTGTGGACAACTTGGACATTAAAGAAAAATTTACAATCAAGTAAGCAAATCACCGATAATCCCCTTACCCAAAGATATGCACTGTTAACCTTTCGAGAATTTCTTAGTGTGTGCGAGTTTGAGACGCATTTTCCAAGAGAACTGGGACTAAAGTAAACATTTAGTGTATACTTTGAGGAGCCATCATCCTAATAGTCAGCACAGGTTAACATCTCAGTGATGGAGTGAGACAGTCTATCAGGCCCAACTCACCTTCCCCAGCAGGAGGCTTTACTCAGATAATGCCTTTACTCAAGGGTGTGCAAGCCTTGCAATAAACTGGGCTGTATTTCTTTGCTATCATTTCTGTGTAGGTATGTTTCAGGAACCCAGTTCTAAAAGGCTCCTTGAAGACAAGGACTCTCTCTCCTACTCCTGTCATCTCTCCCAGGGACTTAATATACAACTGCTTTCTGAAAAAGCAGGTCTCCTGCAGCTAGTGAACTGTTGACAGAATGGAGGAACAAACGAACAAAAGAATGAAGGAAAAAAAAAAAAAACAGACAATCGAGTGGCACCCATGACACCAAGTCTACTTTGGGGGTTAGGAGAGGGAAATAATGTAATGCACCCCCGAGTCGCCTGGGTCAACATTATCAGCTTCACGGCCTTTGCAGAGACCAAACGGAAAAACCTGAATTGACATGAGGGAGAAGAAAAACAATGTCCGTAATTTACTTTAAAATATTCGGCAGACGGGACGCCTGGGTTGTTCAGTCGGTTGGGCGTCCGACTTTGGCTCGGGTTAGGAGCTCACGGTTCGTGAGTGCGAGCCCCGCGTCGGGCTCTGGGCTGACAGCTCAGAGCCTGGAGCCCGCTTCGGATTCTGAGTCTCCCCCTCTCATGCTCTGTCTCTCAGTAAAATAAAACATTAAAAAAAAAAAAGATGTTTAAAATATTCAGCATAAATATCAACACGAATGACAGTACGCTATCCAGGATACGTATATGTATACGTATCCAGGATACATATACGTATACGTGTACGTATGCAGGATATGTATACTGGCGAGGATACGGAGCGAGTGGACCTCTTCAGACGCTGCTGGTGGGAACGGAAGATAGTTCAACCACCTCGGGAAACCGGTTGAGTAGTTTCCCATGAAATTGAACACACATCTCTCTTAGGACCCAGATATTCCACTCCTGGCGATTTACCGAAAAGAAAGAAAAGCATGTCCACAAAAAGATGTGTACATGCATGTCCACGGCAGTAGCTTTAACCACAGTAGCTAAAATCTTGGCAACAAGGCAACAGGAGAGCGAATTAAGAGACTGTGGCGTAGTCCTGCAGTGCGCCGAGTTTAAAGAAAACCCTCACGTGGCCAGTGCAGCATGACGTACGTACGTGTTAGCTTACGCTACGACGCAGAGGCGCTCAGCCGTCTGAGTCAGGAATGCACACTCTAGGGGTGGGTGGCTAGCAATTCATCAAAAAGCCTCACCCCGGAGGTGGCCACTCCAAGTACTTCAGCTATATTTAGCTCCTATCACACCGGGGGATTCATTAATTATCCAAATTAACGCTAGATAGGTCTGCGCTGGTGACGTTAGTGGTTTGCGAAACATGAGGACCGCTGGAAAAGGTTTCGAAACGCTGGCCGCCCTTCCATTATCGGGCTCTGAGAAGAATCTAGCAGGCTCTCCACCCAGAGAAAGGGTGCCCTAGGCTGGATTCCAAAAGGTCCACCTGCCGGTCACTGAATTGCTGGTGGCGCGAATTCCATCAGTCAACAGAAGCCGGATCACAATTACCGGGGGAGGGTGGCTTTCAAAGTACCACTTCCCGGGGCCCGGCTCCCAGATTTTCTTACTCTGTAGATCCGGGGAGGGACTGACAGTACGCATCCCTAACAACTTTCCAGGAGATTCTGACGCTGCTGGTCCCAGGACCACACTTGGAGACCCGCTGTGTCCGAGGGCTGTGGCCCGGCACGGTGAGGCTCTCTCGCCGAGCACGCAAAAAGGCAGGGCTGGGACTTCACGGTGCCTTCTGCATACGCTTTAGTGAGACTGGTTTCCGCCCCGTGGCTAAGCGATGTTCTTTTGTGACAGAGCCTGTTCGGAGACGTGCCTTCGTTATGAACTGGTAGGTAGGTCCTAGTTATCCAAAGCGTCATTCGAGGGTCAACGGCACGACCCGGAGCTTGTCAGAAAGGCAGAATCTTTGGCCCCACCCAGATCCACGAATCAGAATCAACACGTTGAACAAGATCCCCAGGTGATTACTCTAATTGTACATTTTAATGAAATCCACCATTGTTTGGTGTTGTTAAAGGTCAAGTATGTGTTGTCTTTTGTTTTTCCTTTCTCAAGTTCCACTCTGCGGACTTTTGGGAGGGTATTCGATGACAACTATGACCGATGAACCCAACAATTCACCCCTGGGATCTATCTGCGGGTCTCTTGTTTATGATGAACACCAGTAAAAAGTACTCAATGTATAAAAAGTGTCTAAACGCGTTCTCCCTCAAAGGCGATTGGTACAGATTCCCTCTCCTCCAAGTGAATTCACTTTTCTCTCCAAAGCTTGTTCTCTGCTCAGGACAACTTGATTCACCTAGGCCCCCCCTTCTGCCCTTCGTGATCTCTCTCTGCTTACCTTTTTGGGTGGTCTCAGCCAACTCACGTCTTGGGGCACTAAGCCACAAGACGCTCATTCCTGGCCTCCCCTCGACAAGGGTGTAACACCAGCAGCGTGATCACGCTTTCCCCACACGTGGCGGCACAGAGTTCCTTCACACGGCGTGAACGAGCCTCTTTGGCTCTTTTGTAAAATAAGCCACATGGAAACACGGGGACGCCCTTCTTGTCAAGTACACACTACGCCCCCTGTACCACCATCCCGTGGCACTTTCCAAGGAACAGGCCTCCAACTCCAAATTTCCTTTCATTCACTGACTTACACACAAGTGTGGGGCGTCGACTGCGTCGATCAAACGTCTGAGCAGAAGGCAGTGGCGAAACTTTCTCGTTTTTCTCTTCCTTCCTAAGCCTCCTGTCCGACTGCCCCTGGACTCATCGGCCTAGCCTACCATCTTCCTTCTTTCCTAAAACACATCCTTCTCCCACGACCAATTCTACCCCTTTGCCAATTTTCTTGGTTCCATTCAGAATTCAGAACAAACGATCTAAAGGAGGTCAGAAGCTTCAGCCATGTTTCACAGTTTATTTCAAGAACTGGCAAATTCCACCAGAAGCTACATCCAAGCGGGAGAGGCAAGGGTGATCTGACTCTTTTTTTTTTTTTTTTTTTAATTTTTTATTAACATTTATTTATTTTTGAGACAGAGAGAGAGCATGAACAGGGGAGGGTCAGAGAAAGAGGGAGACACAGAATCTGAAACAGGCTCCAGGCTCTGAGCCGTCAGCACAGAGCCTGACGCGGGGCTCGAACCCACAGACCGCGAGATCATGACCTGAGCCGAAGTCGGCCGCTTAACCGACGGAGCCACCCAGGCGCCCCAAGGGTGATCTGCCTCTTTCAGGGTGCGGTTCACTACGGAATACTCTCTGAGACAGGCCTCTGGTACATTCCTCCTCTAGCAGCTCTCTCAGCGTCCCCAAAGCAGTTCGAACTTTGCTCCCTTCCAAATCCTTCTGACTATGGCATTCGGCGTCCGGTTTATCCTCTCGGACACC